AGTGCACGACTAATAGTTGTCCTATGGACAGATTCCCCCACCTGAGCTGTAGATCTCTGCAGCTCATCGAGAGTCACCATGGTCCTCTTGGCTGCATTTCTGATCAGCGCTCTTCTTGTTCGGCCTGTGAGTTTAGGTGGACGGCCTTGTCTTGGTAGGTTTACAGTTGTGCCATACTCCTTCCATTTCTGAATGATCGCTTGAACAGTGCTCCGTGGGATGTTCAAGGCTTGGGAAATCTTTTTGTAGCCTAAGCCTGCTTTCAATTTCTCAATAACTTTATCCCTGACCTGTCTGGTGTGTTCTTTGGACTTCATGGTGTTGTTGCTCTCAATATTCTCTTAGACAACCTCTGAGGCTGTCACAGAGCAGCTGTATTTGTACTGACATTAGATTACACACAGGTGCATGTAGTCATTAGCACTCATCAGGCAATGTCTATGGACAACTGACTGCACTCAGACCAAAGGGGGCTGAATAATTACGCACACCCCACTTTGCAGTTATTTATTTGTAAAAAATGTTTGGAATCATGTATGATTTTCGTTCCACTTCTCACGTGTACACCACTTTGTGTTGGTCTTTCACGTGGAATTCCAGTAAAATTGATTCATGTTTGTGGCTGTAATGTGACCAAATGTGGGCTGAATACTTTTGCAAGCCACTGTAGATTCTGTTCACCTGTGTCTCATTTCCCTCAGATGTGCTCACTTCAGCTAATCCCCCCTCTTGTGTATATATAATGGCATCTTTTTGTCAGTCCTTGTACAGTGTCTGTTATTGTGTCTTCTGTGCCTAAATTGTTGGATTCCTGTATAATCCTTAATATTTATAGTTTGTACTTTTCAACCTATTTAAGTAAAGGTTTGTTTTCAATTTCTGCTGCTGCCTTAAGAGTCTCCATATGAGTCCTCCTCCTACAGATACATGACAGCAAAACTGAGAAGCACAGACAATGGCTGCAGTGGTGGTGTAACAGATTGGCTATTTTTACTGTTTTTAATATTTTTAGTTTCTCCAGCCTCATCTGTTCTTCTGCCTCTGGCATCATGTTTAATCTTTACTCTGTATTATTTGTCTCTTGGTCACTTCTTTTTGATATGAAGTGAAGGTTAGTTTCTCGTGTCTCTTTTTATGGATAATAATCAAATAGTCCTAAAATTGACTCCTACTTCCTTTTACCTGATTTTGATGGAAAACATCAAGGAAAGATGTCCAGAAGAACTTATAAGGAAACAGGAAAAGGAAAGCTTTTTACTCAGAGAATCTGAATGCACATATTTGTTAATGGTGTACCATGTTAAAACTACAATGTCCCATAGCTGGACTAAATTACTAAATTACAAGAAGAACTAGTAAAAAAAAAAACTTCATTACAAAGGCTGAAATTCTATAAAATTGCATGAATCTTATTTTATTATTTTTTCCTGCCTGACCAATGATGCAGTAACTCCTATCCTACCTACTGTTGAAATCTTCTGTGACCAAAGTAAAATTCCCTCCATCAACAACTTAGGCTGGAGCCTTTCCCAGCTAGCCCCGAGTAAAAATGTATATCATATGATGATGATCAATCTAAAGGGTGGCAATACAACCACAGACATGACTAATGTATATCTTAAACACACTTTGATATAGTTCATATAAGTTATAACATTGATTTAGACAGCTGATATAAATCTATGCTCTTCATACGAGGCAACACCTCCTTGAGAATTTTATTACAGCAGTGCAACATTGACAGATCAACTGTAGATTTTACTACCTGTTGTCAAACCATACAGCTGGGTTATGGTATGAGTAGGCCTCACTGTGAAATTAGTGATTGAAATTACTCAAAAATGAGAAACAATTAGTGTTAACATTTATGTGACCAAAATCACCATCAGTTTGATTTAGGTCTAAATCACAGTCATTGTTTTGGTGAACAGTTGGATGGTTTGTTGCACATAATAAAGGAAGGGTCTTTTCTTAGCAGTTGGAGAATTTGAACCGCTGTTATTATGGCTGCCATACAGATACTTCCGGGTCACTTCAATTTGTTAGAAACCTTCCTAAGCAACATTAACTGCACAACCACACCTCTAATTTTATTTCATGTTCTTTTTCTCTGCTGTGACTATCTGCCAAATTATTGCTTTCAAGTGTGTCTTGTTCCTACCTGTGCTTCACCTCCAGTCACCCCTCTGTGTGTGTGTGTGTGTGTGTAGTCCCGTATTGTCCCCTTTGTCAGTTTGTCTGTTCACCCCAAGAGGTGCTTTGCTTTGTGTCTGCCATCTTGCTTTATGTTGGGTTCATTTCTTGTAGTTTTATCATTTTTCACTTCACTACAATTTGTTAAAAGCAATAAAGGGCTAAACTGTTTAAAGACTACAGCTGATGGTTTTGAAATTGCATTTTAAACATGTATTTCTTATGCTTTTCATAAACCGTTTACCCCATTCCAACATAAGCCTACTTAACAGGGACAAGTGATCAGTATCCTTTCTAGTTTCAGAAGGTGAAACTTATCTAGTGGACAACTGACAAGAGCTGAAAAATTGGGGAACAAAATTAGAGTTAATTCACACCATAAACTTTGTAACTGAAACTGCAGCTACTTTAAGGCTGTGTAAGGGTCCAGAAGAAATTCTTTCATTTATTCTGAGTGTTTCCACTAAGAAGACTGAATCTAATCAGAGGTAGCAGATTACAGACAATAAAGAAGTGTGTCATAAATCTATACTGCAGCTTTAACTCAGATCTTCTCCGTAACTGGTTCGTTAAGTCTGACACACAGAACTATCACACTAAGACTATGCTACAATTAACACAAGAATCAACTAACTGGACAGATACACAGCCCCAAAAAAGGTTTTGAAATCACAAAAATTTGACCAATTAACCAACCTTGTCTCTTGTAGATGGGTGGTTTTCTATAGATGTTAGTTTCTTCAGAAGCTGAGAACAAAAGAGAGTCAGTTGGTGAGAAAAAGCAAAATAAACATTCAGATAAGAGGAGAACTTTGATCTTTAACTAAACCAATTTCTTTGTACAATTAGACAGATACTTTATTGATCCCACAAAGGAAAGCTACTGTACATATTTACAACCCCAACCTGTACATAGTGTGGCTACAACACATAAATATGTTCAGAAAGTGAGATCAAGTGATCCACAAGTTACTCTGCAGAGGACATTTCTATCACTCCAAAATCGATACAATCATCCACATGAACTCTATTCAGAGAAAAGCAACAACTGGACTCTGCCCACCTTCACACAGAGATGACAACAGAAATGCACATCTGAGCCAGTGATATCCTCCCAAGAAAAAGTTAGCCAGTCCTATTTGTATTTCCTTTAAAAGTGTACTTGAAGGTCCAACAACAGTCAAGTGGCAACAAAATAATTCACAACCAAATACCTCATCCTATAGTCAAACTGTTGCTAGATGGTTTGGGCAATGATTTTTCTCCTCTGAACCCTGTCAGTTTCTTTTCAGAATATAATTTTTCCAAAAACACCATTTTTTTCATCCCTTTCTGCTCCAGTGCATCCTAGATGGAAGTGCCAGCTGCCATTTACATCTCGAACCTTCTTCAACCAGTTAACTCTTGGAAAGGGTGTGCTCACATATTTTAGTGGTGTTTTATGCGATCATGTGCAAAATTGTTATGACTAGTAATCAACACAGCTGCATCATCAGCACAAGCAGGCACATTAGTTCATGTATGTGAAACTGCAGCAAAGGTTAAACCTGTGAGATCCCATCTAAGCTGATTTTAAAGGCAACAGCATATGGCTGACCACATAGGGGCCAACCCTGCCTAATGCCTCTTTGTACAGTGATGTAGCTGCTAAGTCCTCGTCCTCTTATTTTCAACAATATAGCAGTATTTGAATACAACAGCTTATCCCATGAAATAAAATGAAGGCTTCAAGCATCTGCAACAAAGATGATCTGCTTTTTCTTCCTCTAGACACAAAGACCTAAATTGTCCAAAAGTGCGAGTTATTGAAAGTCTGAATATAATGAATAATGGCTTCCAGACCATCCTTAAATGTATTTAAAAGACATTCAGCTATTTTTATAGTTTGTACAGTGAAGTGAAGCTGGTCTCTGATTTCTTACCAAACCCTAACATCTCTCTCTCCTATTTTTGTTGCCTATAGGGCTCTTCAGGGAGTCACAACTGAGCTGCTGAATGGTAGTAAAAAAAGTCTTCTCAAAGGAAAGTTCAACTTCAGTGTAGGTAATCCCTCCATCTACATGACTGCCATCCATTCAATTCAGTTCAATTTTACTTAAATAGTGCCAAATCACAAGAAGAGTCGCCTCAAGGCACGTTGCATTGTAAGGTAAAGAGTCTACAATAATACAGAAAAAACTCCAACAATCAAACAAGTGCAGAAAGACTGACAGGAGGGGTCTGCTTCTGAATGTTAATTTGCCACAGTTGGTGCTGAGGGTGTCTTCTGTAGCTGTATGGTGATCTGAAAAATCATTAGGGTGGCATCATGGCCCTAATGTGCAATATTGAGTTCAGAGCTGTGAATGGCACACTTGAATTACAAAGCAAGATTTTTATTCAGGGTAAAATCAAAGTCCAAATGGTTAAAAATCCATAATGTGTCATTAACAGAAATCCAAAACAAAACATGTAAGCAAAGGAAAACAGGAGACCAAAGAAGGTGCATACAGGAAGAAAGGGAACAGGAATATACCATATGTTCTGAACACAGATGGTGGGGAACGAGGTACAGGTGAGAACATACAGGAAGTAAACCTAAAACATGTGCTTTTATAACACAAACCCAAGCTCAAAACTACTGACTAGACCTCCAAATCAATGAAATTTTCTTCTCACAACACTGAGGTCATTTTCCTTCACCACACTTGACAAAGGTGAGACGAAGGTATGTCGGATACGTTTGCCTTGACAGAGATGTTGATTATCAGAACTATAGTCATCAGTATTTATTTTTTTACAGAAGTCTAGAATTTGCTCAGATGCAGGGAGGGGGAAAAAACTGTATTTCCACATTATGTCAACCATCATCCATCATTCTTTCATCTTTATTCTCATTTTCATCTCATACAACTGAAGCTGAACCTGCTGCATCACCTGCCACAGGGACACTTCCTCCTTCAATTTTTTTTCATTAGTTGCACTATTTGTGTTGTTAGCATCACTTGCTTTTCCCCAGAGAGGGACACCATTTCTGGGGAGAACACCAGTACATGAATGCATAGCTTTACACCAACAATTAATGAGATAATTCATTAAATTACCCTCACGTTTCTTTACAGATATCATGCAAACTGTATATAAAGGTAAAACTATACCAACCTCCTTCCCGTACAAAATCCCAGTATGCAGTGCACAGAGGAGAGCGGAGGAGTTAAATATTCTAGCTTTCCTTGTTTAACCTCCCCCACCAAATTAGTTGTATACATTTACAGTCTTAAGCACGACAGAAGCTGACAGAACAGGTGATAAACTGGTACTGCAGAGGTGCTGCCTTGCATCCAGACAACCTGACTAACATGCCGAGGTTGATTAATACAGCTTCCCAGGCTTAATACAGGAAAGAAAAGCAGGCGGCACAAGAATAAAGATGAGGGTGGAGAGCAATTAAAGTTGATCCAAATTAAAAAGAAAAAACTAAGAAGAGACAAGAACAGAAAAGCGGCACGACAACATGCCACAGTAAACTATAAATGCCTTTTAGCCTTTAATATAACAATAAATAATGAAAAAAACAGAAAACATTTCCATTCACACTGTGTGCCACAAATGCAACCAAGTTTGCAACCTTATTTGTATGCACTAAATGTGTATGCACATGACACTCTGAGACACTTTGAATAAAAGCATCCAGCAGATACATTTCGCACTCTGTTGAAAGCAAGCAGGAAGTGCTGTTTCAGGGCTGGCGAGAGGAAAAAAAGCATGAGGAAACACAAATTGAGAAATGGAGTGGGGGCAGGAAGAGGGAATGATGGAGGGAAATCAAATATGCAGCTCATATTGAGAAGAAGAGGCCTTTTATAGTGAAGGGAGCAAAGACAGAGTGAAGCGTTCAGAGAGGAGAGAGGCGTTAAGTTGTTAAAGTGGAGGGTTGATGGGCTCTTAAAATAAAATTAACCGATATTTGTTGCAAGATGACAGTACTAAAGTACTCGCATGTTACACAAAAGCTGCAAATGAGTAAGACAAAATAGACAAAGAGTGCCCATTGGCCAATGAGAGAGGAGGATTAATACATTTTATGGTTGTTAAAACATCAATGAAATAAGGACAAAGGCAAAAGGATAAAAGAAAATAAAAAAAGATGAAAATGATTGAATTACAGAGAAACTTTCCCCTATCTAGATGATGATGGATGGATCGTGCTCACTAGTAATTAATATCTCAAATTACTTTTTTGTGACTCTTTTTTTTTGGGGGGGGGGGGCTAGATAAATTGGAACCAGCAAGAAGAGTGTTCTTCCATCACAATAATTACTCAATATTCAAATTTACTCTTTAGTTACAGTCATGGTAAAAAGAAAGTAAACCTTGAATCTGAAGGTTTTTACTATCACGACATTATAAAAAAAAAAAAAGAACATTAACAAAAACAAAAATAGTGCTACCCCTCAGCCTCCCAGATACAGCTATACACCTATCTGAAACTCCTATGTCACTTATCATATTCACAAACTTGGGTGTCGATGTCGCCCACCCGCCCCCTCACCCATGGATCCCCTGAAATCTGTCACCACAAATCAATAAATGTATAAAATTACAGAAAAGGTCTTGTAGCTCAATTTTGATAGTAGATAGTGAAAAAACAGTACATTTTCTGTGTTTTATTATCGATTACTTAATTACTTGTTGTAGTACTAATGGAAATGTAGGAGATATTTATTGAGAGGAAAAACTTTAAAACTTGTGAAAATACAGTTAAAAGTCCAAAAGCAATCCCCTCCTTCACAAAGGAGAAAGCCAATATGGTGGACCGGATTGGAGCCTTTGCTGGGCTGATTCTGGCCCCAGGCCTTGTGTTTGACACCCACGGTCTAGAGCATTCAGATGTATTAACACAATGGCAAGAAAGATAATAGAAGTGCCAGGAAAAAGCTGATTATTTCTAAAAATTAATATTATACCATGGCTTAGGTTTGCATAGGTGAATCTGGAAAATCCTCAATACCTTTGGAACAATGGCTTTTGGACAGATGAGACTAAACTGTGGGTATTTGGCTATAGTGGACATAATGCACCATGTTTGGTAAAAATCAAACACAGCATACCAACAACCAACCATCAAACACCTCATACCAACTGTCAAGCACAGTGGTAGAGGGTGATGATTTGGGCTTGTTTTGCAGCCACTGGACCTGGGAACCATGAACTCCTCTGTATAGAGTTAAATCTGCCTGACAGCTAAAGCTTGAGAGAAATTTGGTCATGCACCAGGACAATAAACGAGCACAGCAGAAAATATATGAGAGGTGGTCGAAAAAGAAAAGAATCTAGGTTGTCCAGACCTCAACCTGAATAAAATGCTGTGGTGGAACTTTCAAAGAGCTGTCCATGAACGAATGCCCGCAAACTTCAATGAACTGAGGCAACGCTGTCAAGCAGAGTGAGCAGAGATTCCTCTACAATGATGTGAGAGATTAATAATGTTGTATAGAAAATGTTTACTTCAATTTACTAACGGTGATTCTACAAGCGACTGAATCATGGACCGTATTTTCTCTTTCACTCACAGCTTCTACATTTTGGCTCAGCTGTTGTTAGTTAGTTGCTTGTTGTCCATCTGAGGTTGTATTTACCTCATTCTAACACCTGCTCAGGACCACCTTATTTTTTATTATGTCCTCATATGTAAAACCTTAGACTTGAGACAGTGTACTTTTTTGCCATGACTATAAAGGATTTTTTTATTTCAAAAATGATAACAAAATATCAAATTGTTATTTTAATCCAATTAAAACCTGTGTGCATGAATGCAGGAGAACAGCTGCTATAGCTGATATATAGTAATAACAAATTAGTTAACAGGTTAGGGTCAGGATTAGTTTTGGTCTGACGTGGTGAAGTTTTGGTTAGTTAACAGGTTAGGGTCAGGCTACATACACAGTAACGGCCTACCTGGCACATGGAAATGCTTGGGGGCTTGGAAGGTGTTGGTGGGTGTAGCACACTTGGGCTCTGGCTGACTATAATAAGGAGAACTCCTGCCACTTTCACTGCCTGCACTCAGCCCAGCCAGTCACAATGAGAGAAACCAAAGCATCAATGACCCACATCCACAAACAGTAAGACAGACAGGGTATTGAAAGATACACTGACAAATAACCCGATGGATTACATGTGCATGCAAATGTGAGTTGCACCCACACAAAGACTTTCTATCCAGCTATTTTTTTTCTCTGTGTGTGTGCGTGCGCGCGTGTGTGTGTCTTTGCTTGAGTGGGTGTATTACCAGGGACATAATAATGCAGTGGGGAGCCTCCGTGACGACTGTGTGCAGGTGAGTCGGTATAGGGGGAGCTGGAGGAACGTCTTGTTCTTAACTCCATGCCATCCAAGAGATCCTGAAAGGAAAGGCTGCTTTAGAGGCTGTCTGAGTAATGTGCTTTAATTTACTAAAGGCAGTAAGGTAGACCACAAGGTTACTTCCACAACACAGTTTTAATCATGCTGACAGCAGTTTATTAACCTACATGGTGCGTATACTGCTGGCAGTCCTAGTGCACAAACATGTGCAGATGTAGTCTAAACACAGACAGTGAAGACTATCACGGTGCCGTTACAATGATGGCACAAATTAAAGAAATACTTGGATGGTTACTTTCCTTCATGCCAAGACTGAAACAATAATATTAGCATATAAATAGATGTGTATTAAATATGAAAGTGGTTAGGTTAGCGTAGCATGTAGACTGGAATCAGAGGAAACATGCAGCCTGATGGGAACAAAATCCACCTACCAGCACTTCTAAAGTTTACTAATTAAGATGGTATATCTCAAGGGTACAAAATTATGTCCCAAAATATCAAACTATGTCTTCTTGTATCCTTTTTTTTATCCAGTCTGCTATTATTGGTAATTAATTTTCATCAAAATCTGCTTCCAGAAACCCAACATTTTACAGTACCTCAGCTTATCTGCCAATAGCAAGACACCGGTACCTTATATTACCATGAGTTTAATGTGTTTAAAGTACTGAATACACTGAAGTAATCAACCTGTTATCATTTTGATCTATTCAAATGTTGCCGGTGTTTGATATCACTCAACTTTACTGTTTTGAGTTCTAAAATTAAAACCGGTTACATCTATTTTCTTTTGTATTTAATACTTTAGAGTAAGGATTACCTTCTCAACCATTACACAAAGAGGTGGGGAGAGTACTTACATGAGAGTATGGTGATAAGGAGCCCAATGACTGGATATGAGGAGAAATAAAAGATATTTGTTACTGTTCATTATTCTTAATATGTTATGGTCAATTTATTTTTACCGGAAGAAATTCAAATAGTGAGTTTGTGCGTGTGTGACTACCTGCCTACGGTTGCATCTCTCCAAAGTGTCATCTGAGAGGTGCGTCTGTGCATGGTCGGCCTGATAAGGAATAATGTCAGGCCGCTGAATGTCATATATGGCTTTAACCCTGGGAAGTGCTGCCACCTGCTTGTATTCCAAAACATCCCCATCACCCTTAGCCTGTTAGAGCGAGACAGGTAGACAGGGATACACATTAAATGAAGACCAAACCATAAGTAGAAGACTGGCTGTAAACAGCCAATCTCGATCACCAACAGAAGAGGCACCCACGGAGACACAAATTCTTGCATAGAAAATCACACATATGGTAGCATACAGGAAGGGAAATGAGGCAATGGTAAACATTCAGGTGAGCAGGTTAAACTGAAATCTTTGATGGGCCAGTAAAAATTTAAACATGACATTAAACGATCTAAGATAGAGCTAAAAAGTGTGCACTGTAAGACAATAACTCTAGATAGGAAACTAAAGGGCTTAAGATAAAAGCCTGCTTATTATAAAAGGCATATTAAGGCTTTAGTAGTCTAGCACTTTGCTTTTAGTAGGCATACAGTAAGGCAGGGAGAGGCAACAGACAGACAAGAAGTCTGCTGAGAGACTGATAGCACAGACCGTCTGAGCTTTCAGGGTCTCTTTTGTGCTTCTGTCTATGCTGGTTATGTTTGAGTGACAGATGTGACTGTGACAGCTGAGGGCGCAACCATGGCGTAGCCATGGTGACGGTTACTCACACAGATGAGCCGGTGAGGAGAGCCAAGGAGAGGAGAGGAGCCTGGAGGAGAAATGGATGCTGTCTCGGAGGTACGTCTCAGCTGGTGGGACAAATGTCAGTGAGAGCAAGGAGGTGAATAAAGTTAGCTTAAATACAACAGTGAGCTTACTCAAAAAAGTGAACCTGGAGCAGTAACTCAAATAATCACTCGTTACAGCCAAGGTATCCAGAAGATCATCTCTGAAAGCACATCACCTCAAACCTTGAGTTGGTTACCCAGTACCACCAGTACCTCCAGTACCACAGGAAACTGAGGCTATAATTCACATCGGCTCACCAAAACTGGACGACAGACAATTGGAAAACGGTCGCCTGGTAATGAGCCTTGAATTCTGCTCAAATATTTGAACGGCAGGGTGAGAATTTGGTGTAAACAACATGAAAGCCTGGATCCATCCTGCCTTGTATCAACACTTAAAGTGGTATAATGGTGGTGGTATGATGGTCTATGGGGGATATTTTCTTGGCATACTCTGGACTCCATCCTTACTACTCAGCATCAAGCCTCAGTGTGCTAATCTTCTAATAGTACGTTAACACACCAAGTTACACCAAGCTAAAACCACCCCAAAAAGGGTTTCTGGAACATTACAATGAGTCCAGATGGCCTCCACAGTCACCAGATCAACATCCAATCCGGTCGTTAAGTCTGAC